TGGCAAGCCTTTTTGACGGGGATAATGTGTTAAGTTAAGGCCGTTTTGCCAAATGTTTTGCCAAAACAGCAGGCTTGCAACATTTGTGATGATTCGTTTTAAGCAAGGTATACGTATACTAATGCTTATTTATCGTTATTTTGATTGAACAAAGCATTATAGAGGTTCTCCATCAACCACCTAGGTATTTTTCCCCGTTCACCTCCTTTCGTGAGACCGACACATCATAAATTGCGGAGCCGCCTGAGTTGACGTCACAAATCTTCACTCACTCCCGTAGCAAATCATATGTGATATCATTTATGGACAACCCCATACCACTCACTTGGGTACTTGATATTGACATTTTGACAACAAAGGATAACCAAAATGTGTCTGGCGGGTGGAGACTTGCGATCGACCATAATGACAACACGCACTTAAGGGGTGGAGTGGCTGATTATTTTAGGTGATGTTTTACGAGGGAAGCTGGTGGATAATACATTTTGTCTCTCTGTATATATAAATGATGACAAACATTTATTGTTGTCAAAATTAAGGCTAGAGATCTTAGATAAGGCAGAGCGAAGCGTAATTTTTTACATTGGGGTCATCCATAAATGACGTCACGATTTTTTTGACGATTTTTCCCTCCTCCCCCATTTCTCCGTCACACGTCGTCACAAAAAGCCAGCTCCCCCCCCCCCTAAAATGACGTCACACCTCAACCTACAACCCCCCCCCCCCCCCGCCCCTCAAATGTGCAGTTGAATTTTTTCAAAACATCGATATTTTTCCAAAATCTTGTCTAAACTATTACAATTTATAAACAGTTATCTAAAACGCGAAATAACGTCTAAAATTCGTTTTCTAACATTGCTTTTTTATAATGCAAAAATGTGACGTCGCAACATCTGAACCACCCCCCCTCCCCCTCATCACACAGTCACAAAATTACGGACCCCCCCCCCCCTCCCCCTACGAGTGTGACGTCATTTATGGATGACCCCTTATGACTTGTTGTGACATTGACAACAAAAATATGACGGAGGTTGGGGTTTAATTAAGGTAAAGAGAAGTAAAAAGAATGTCATAAGTTACGATAGAATCACTAATTGATGAAAAGAAAAACCTGAAATGAAAATAGTGAACATTCAAACAATAAGAAAAAACTCAAACTATATAGTAATAGTAAGATCAAATAAACATTAGTAAAAAAAAACGTGATTTAAAACATGGATACAAGTTGCATCTCACAATGCTTCTAGAATTAATAAAATTATTTGTTAGGAGATTCAGTTTTTAAAGAGCAGAATTTAAAAAAAAAAATGCTTTGTTATACGGACTATACAACAAGACAATCATATTTAAATACATTTTCATACGAATAGAAATGAAAGGGAAGCTACTCTAAATAACATTTTCTTAAGATGGCTGCTGTTTTTAATAGCAAATTTACTATCTCGAACAGGGTTGATAAAAATTAATTTCAGGATATTTAAATTGATTTAACCATAAATGGTGATCTATTATTCAATTATTTATAATATTTTATCAAAATATACGAAAATATACTCATATTTAATGACATATTCATTATTGCACTCTCTCCTACATTACTAGTTTTGGCCGAATTTACGACGCTAAACTAAGATTTTACCTTTATGTCATATTTTACATAATATAACAGATAATTGAATACCAAATCACAATCCAAGACCAAACCAGTCATAAATATCCTGGAATAAACTTTAAACTACCCCGTTCGAGACAACAATGAGTAAATACAAGCAGCGGCCATGTTTTAAAAACAATAAATTGTCTATTCGCATGTCTTTTGTGTTGATTTTGTGGTTTAATATGATTGTTTTGTATTGTTTTAATATATGCCGGGGGTCGTCCATAAATGACGTCACACTCGTAGGGGGGAAGGGGGCCCGTAATTTTGTGACGTTGTGTGTGAGGGGGAGGGGGGGGGGGTTCAGATGGTGCGACATCACACTTTTGCATTTTAAAAAAGCAATGTTACAAAACGAATTTTAGACGTTATTTTGCGTTTTAAAAAACTGTTTTAATACATTGTAATAACAATTGATTAAAATACTCTATTTTGACAGAGTTCAGACAAGATTTTGGAAAAATATAGCTGTTAAAAAAAAATTCAACTGCAATTTTGAGGGGGGGGGGGTGTAGGCTGAGGTGTGACGTCATTTTAGGGGGGGGGGTCTGGCTTTTTGTGACTACGTTTGACGGAGGGGAGGGAGGGGGGAGGTAAAAATCGTCAAAAAAGCGTGACATCATTTATGGATGACCCCCTGTATAGTAATTTTTCTTTTTTTAAAAATATAGTTGACATGAATGACTAATAGATCATATCAGACTTAATAGTGTGCATCCAAGACCACAACAATTGTTGGGAGGTCGAACTTTTTAACACTTTATTTGTAGTAAGCAAATCAATATTAGATCGCTCATAAATGACGTCGCTCTCAAGATAGTAATGACAGCGTGCATTATTACAGAGCAAACATATGAACATATTGTTTCAGATAGAAATTCTGATTTGTGGTGGGGAGAGGTTGAGAAGAACTCAGCGATGTGATTTTGGAGACTGGTCAGGTTTTTTTTCTCGTGAAAACGGGATGGTTGTGGGAGAAAGACCAGCTGTAGAAGTATGACGCGTCATTCATTGGTGATCCATTTTCTCAGTGGGGACGAAAGAACTATTAAGAAAGGTCAAGAAATGTCAAAAGCTTGCCGAGTCGCATTTCTTGAACCCTACCTTTTTCATTCCCCCACTTAGCACATCGTCACCGAGTTAACGCTCGCACGTGACGTCATGTAGCGGTACCGCCGACCGTTAGGCTAATTTTATAAATTATAGAAAAAAAAAACAATAAGCATTGCCTTTTTGACGCTTTCGCGACGTTTAGTTTGATTACATAAGTTGGTGTTCATTAAACAGCCCCTAACACATCTATCACTCGTCCATTTAAACGTACGTAGTTATTTCTGCAAGCTTGCTGTCTTGAGACTTTCGGCCCTTTAAAAATGTATTAAGCTCACACCGTATAGAACTAGACTACCCATATTAAGCTCCAAAAGAAGCTTGGTGAAAACAGGATGGCCGTCCGATTTTGTAGCTGCTCTGCGCTTTTTAAAAACCACAATAAACGATAAGATGACACTTATATTAAAGTAAATTATAGTTCTGAATCTTGATACATTAAAAGTGATATTCGGAAATTAAGAGCCAGACCAGACAGTCAACATATTTCAATTTAAGTCCAAGAAAATAAATTTCCTCAAACGATGGAACATTACTAAATTTTCGCGCATTTTAGCGAAATTGAATTTAAGTATTTACGTCATCTTACAAAGCGCGATAGCTTACTGGTGCTCTAACGTGGCCCATGCTAATGGCCGTATTCCTAACGCCCCGCATTAGACACGACTTATTCGTCGGCAGGCATTTGGTGGCAAGCCTTTTTGACGGGGATAATGTGTTGCGGACGTTTTGCCGAATGTCTTAAACTAGCAGGCTTGCGACATTTGTGTTTTAAGCAAGGTATACGTATACTAATGCTTATTTATCGTTATTTTGATTGAACAAAGCATTATAGAGGTTCTCCATCAATCACCTAGGTATTTTTCCCCGTTCACCTCCTTTCATGAGACCGACACGTCATAAATTGCAAAGCCGCCTGAGTTGACGTCACAAATCTTCACTCACTCCCGTAGCAAATCATATGTGACATCATTGTGACATCATTTATGGACAACCCCATATCACTCTCTTGTGTACTTGATATTGACGATTTGACAACAAAGGATAACCAAAATGTGTCTGGCAGGTGGAGACTTGGGATCGACCATAATGACAACACGCGCTTAAGGGGTGGACGGGCTCATTGTTTTAGATGATGTTTTACGAGGGAAGCTGGTGGATAATACATTTGGTCTCTTTGTATATGTAAATGATGACAAACATTTAATGTTGTCAAAATTATGGTTAGAGATCTTAGATAAGGCAGAGTGAAGCGTAATTTTTTACATTATGACTTGTTGTGACATTGACGACAAAAATATGACGGAGGTTGGGGTTTAATTAAGGTAAAGAGAAGTAAAAAAAAAATGTCATAAGTTACGATAGAATTACTAACTGATGAAAAGAAAAACCTGAAATGAAAATAGTGAACATTCAAACAATAAGAAAAAACTCACAACTATTTAGTAATAGTAAGATCAGTAGCGTAGCGAGGGGGACGGGGGGACGGGACATATGTCCCCGGGCGCCGACCTTAGGGGGCGCCAAAATGGGTTGGAAAAATAAATTGAAAGGTTGAGGGGAGTGCAAATCGAAAAGTTTGTCCCGGGAAGGGTCGCTACGCCTCTGAGTAAGAAAAAACGTGATTTAATACATGGATACAAGTTGCATCTCACAATGCTTCTAGAATTAATAAAGTTGTTTGTTAGGAAATTCACATTTAAAAAAATACTTTGTAATACGGACTATACAACAAGACGATCATATTTAAATACATTTTCATATGAATAGAAATGAAAGGGAAGCTACTCTCAATAACATTTTCTTAAGATGGCTGCTGCTTTTAATAGCAAATTTACTATCTCGAACAGGGTCGATAAAAATTAATTTCAGGATATTTAAATTGATTTAACCATCAATGGTGATCTATTATTCAATTATTTATAATATTTTATTAAAATATACGAAAATATACTCATATTTAATGACATATTCATTAATTCACTCTCTCCCACATTACTAGTTTTGGCCGAATTTACGACGCTAAACTAAGATTTTACCATTTATTAGTAGATCTAGATCTATATGAGTATATTAATATAATATAATAATAATCGGTAGATTCTAGATCTAGAATCCTAGTCTAGATAATAGATATTGTCTCAATATTGATTTTTGAAAAGCATAGGGCCTATAGAATCTAGATTTCTATCTAGATCTAGATAACAATAATGAAAAAAATTATAAACCTTACCTCCTCCGCTTCTGAAACATAGATAGGGGAATCTCCAAACATTTCCCAAGCCAACAGCATATCCTATCGTTGCAAGAATAAATTCCATTTTTTTCCCCCAGTTCTGTCGATCTTCCATCATGATTGTTTTTCGTAAAAACCAAGTGTTACACCAAATTAGATCTAGATCTAGATTCTAGATCTAGAACAGAATACAAAAGACAACTTTAAAAACAACTGTTATTTCAGTTATTTGTGTTATAAACGCGTATTTGTGTACTTTTTCATCCTGTGCCGTCTCTAACACTAACCGAAGGCTAGCGGACCACTAGCATTAGAACCAGTATCGGTTATCTAACTTGAATAGAATAGGCCTACACTGACTGCTACGGCTAGATTGATATAAAAACTGGAACAAAATGATTTGTCTCAACACCATCAGTTGAAGAGTTAGGTATGGAAAATTAATAAATCTAGAATAGAGATCAAATTAATCCCAGAAAATCCGAATTCCAAATGGAAAATTATATTTTAACTTTTGTTAATTTCGATCGTCTACAGTCTACACTTTACTTTACCGTTAGAATCGCAGTCACCTGAGAATCAGAATCTTGGTTTTAAATGATAAAGCACCGGCTTAAATACTTGACCTTTAACCTGACCTAAAAGTATTAAAATTATAAGGCCTACTTTTCGCTTAGGCTTATTTTTAATACTATTAGAAATCGAAATTGCCTCTTCATTCAGTAGTAGACTAAATCTAATCTATATTCTAGATCCAGACTAAAAACCAGAAACACAAAGAGAATAACCCTTGGAAGTATTATGTATGAGTAAAACTTGCTGAATCATGGCAGTCGACGGTTAGATAATGATGACGTAATTCTGAAAGAGGGCAAATCGATTTCTACGTTTATATAAATTTGTTTTAAACTAGAATCTAGAATCTAGTTTAAAGCTACGTTTTCTTTTCAGTTCAAAACTTTTTTTTCTACCAAATGTTGATATATTTAAACATTTTTTAATCAAATGTAACAAATATTTTACGATATTAAAATTATTAGAATCTGATAAAATATTAAATTTTTAATATTAGGGGGGCCTACTAAAAATGTGAATTAATAGGGCAAAAAATCTGATTTTAGGTTAACGTCCTACCTATTTAAATCTATAGAGAGTAGGTGACTTTTATAAACGGTGTCACCCAATTTGAGATAACTTAGCATTTATTTTGAAACATATTTAACCCATTAACGCCCAAAAGAAAACTACATGTAAAAATTACTTTTAATTGCTATTCATTATGACATATTGGATAAATTAGAACATTAATTACAACAACAAAAAACAGAGAAATTCACATAGCTAAAGGGGTCGGCGTGGTCGAGTCGGTAAAGCTCATGGTTGCTAAACCGAAAAGTCTCGAGTTCGAATCCCTCGGGCAGATGAGGCTCGTTAGCTGGGGACAGCCACTCTTCTAGGAGAGACAACTCCAAAATTAAACAACTGCTGCCTTGTAGTGTGTTCTTGGTTGGACAAAGGCTATGGAAGCAAATCCAAAAAGAAAAAGCAGGCTGAAATCGGAGTCAATGGCCTCAATGGCGCATAACCAGTTGACACGTAACGCTTAATTGTGTTGGAGGCGTGGTCGAGTCGGCAAAAAAAAAAAAAAAGCTCATGGTTGATAAATTCGAACAGTCTCGAGTTCAACCCCACTGGCAGATAAATCTCGATCCCCTTCAACACTAATAATTAAGAACGAAGAAGAAGAAGAAGACATAGCCAAAAAGGTACAGGGGTGTACTCAGCTGGGTACACTGGGCAGATTAGAAGTGAAATAGCCCAACGCAAGGTCGCTCAGAACAACGTGTTTTTTTTTTTTTTGCATCTTTCACATTGCCAGAGGATCCGGCTATAGCAAATAACAAAAGGTAATTGGTTTTCAATTTATTCTGGATTATGTCCATCATTTGTTTATCCACTGTAGGAGCTGTTGATGATGTTGAAAGACTGTTTGTACTTTTCTATTGTTATATAAGATTATGCAATTATTCGTCTGAATGCTAACTGATCCATATTATATGTCAGCTCACCAGTCCTGCTAATCAAAACATGCAGCTGCCAAGCATTAGAAATGGCCATATCCAGTGGATAAGTAAAGATAACCCACCACCATTTTTTCCTCTTACAGACACCCGGTTCAGATTTAACCATTAAGTTGACATCACCCATTCCTTTGTTATAATTTATTATAAGTCTCGGGGTATTGAAATCAACCTTTTGCTTCTGAGCATTACACCAGAGGCGTAGCGACCCTTCCCGGCGCCCGGGGACAAACTTTCAGTTTGAACCCCCTCCCATAGATTTTTTATATTTATAATGCAAAACTGCAGCTAAATTGAGATTTTAATTTGTTTTTCCAACCCATTTTGGCGCCCCCTAAGGTCGGCGCCTGGGGACATATCTACCCCCCCCCCCTCGCTACGCCTCTGCATTACACCACCTTTTTACTTTTCCCACATGCTCTACATGATCAAAGTTGGATCCAACAACATTGTTATCCTTCCAACGTACAATTATAATTTTATTTTTTGTGTCAAATCGGTAATCATACTCAGCTCTAGATTGTTTCATCATTATCTTATCATCTGTGAGTGGACATTTCTTTGTTCTGTTATCTCGTATTGTTCCAGTTGCTCTGTAGCCCGAACAACGCAACTCACATAACAACTTAAGGTTTGTAAAAAAGTTATCGAAGTATACGGTATGTTCTTTTTGGGACAATAGGAAACTTTTCTAGAAGATATTTAACTGCTCTAGCACCAAGAGGATTAACAGACACCTCTTCGGACTTACCGCAATAAAAATCAAACGCGTGGCAGTAGCCATTTCAACATGTTGAAGCCCAATTACGATAACCAAATCGTATGGGTTTTCCTGTAATAAATTGTTTGGGTGGATGATGGCCAAAGTATTTTAACGTCGACCCATCCACAGACAAGCTTTCATGGAAAAACCTTCCACTGGCACGAGTTTCTCTGAAGAAGATTACACAACGGTCTGACTTTCAACATTTTTATCATTCGTACTTGTACCTTGAGCATTGTCATCACAATGTAGGTTTCTTTTGATTTCTTGAAATCTGTTGTATTGCATGCAATTCGACACTAATGGCATTCCAAAATCTTCATCCAAACTCCAATTAGCCCGCTTAGTAGGCAATTTATGATAACCTGATTAATATTGCCAAAAATGTCTTCAAATCTGCTTGATTCGTTTCCAAATTATGATTGTTATTTCGATTTGCGTACACAATACTGTTTCCAACAATCATGTTCATTACACTTTCAACAAAAACATTTTCGAACAACATAACAGGGTTGTGGTCTTTCAATGGTTTCTAAGTGGTATATCATCCCCGCCGTTTCGGTCTAAATAATGGAGATCGAGATGACGAGGTATTACCTCGATCTATTGGAAGAGTTGACGAGATAACATCATCATCATTTCATTCTTCTTCATCGTTCACAACAGCAGGATCTGGTGGAACCAAGAGAACATCGTACTCCTCCTTATCATTATCATCAGCCATTATCGCTTCAAGAGCTTCTTCTATCCCTATATAGTTATTTTGACTTGTAAAGATGCGACGGAGTGCCGTTATAGAAACTGTGTAGCTACAAAATATGAATACTTTCAGTACAGATCTGCCCATTGTACTCACTTGAGTACAGTGCTATAAAATGCAGCCTACTGCATTATAACATAAACAGGTTGTGAAAACAATAACACCACACGTTTTATTATGGTCTTATTGTATATTTCGATAAAGAAATAGTCAAAAAAATTATTAGGTATTATTTTTTTAAAAATATTTATCTTACCTGTATACACGTGCTTGCGAGCGGGAAAAACGAACTAACAAAAATGACAGTTATCATTGCACTGTCGTCATATTGAATTTTTTTTAGACAACTAGTGCAATCTATTGTTGAAATGGGTAATTACTTCCAGGATAATCATTATAGAAAATATGATATCACGCCTTAAACAAGTGTACTCGTGCGAATACAGAAGGAGGTAATGGGTTAATTTGGATTAAGGTTATTTTTAACGAGGGGGTACGGTGGAACTTCAAGACATCTTGGGGGGGGGGGGGGGGTCTGGCTACGTTAGGGAGTGGGGGTACGAATTTAGCTCAACAGCACCCAGCACGAAGAAAAACTAACCACATTCATCCTAATGTCTTTTGTCTCTGGTAAATATTTCTGACACAATAAGACGGCAATTATTTTCATATTACACATTTTGAGTCCAATCTTTAATAATGTAGTTGTTGATATTCCCTTAAAAATTAAACATCGCTATTGAAACTAAAATAAGTTAAGGAGGGGTGGGCTCTTGTAGAATAACGCCAGCCAGCGTCAAACCGTTGAAACTAGATGGCATTCAACGTAGGATCGGGCTAATGAAGTTAATTTCGCCGGCCAATCTATCTATCTATCTATATATATAATTCTCCTCTTCGAGCCGTTAGAAAACAAGCTGCAAACGCTCTCCCTACCTCCCCACCCCTACATGGTTTTAGTGAGCTGTGTTCACTCTAAATGTTTACAAGCAGAGCCAACGATTTTAAACGTAGGGGAGGGGGGGGAGGGGGGGGGGAAGGAAGGGGGGGGGGGTTATGGTCCTTAACGAGCTACTTATAGTGTTTTAAAGAAATATTTTCAGTGTCAGCGTTGGTACTGTCGAATTCACAAATTATGAATTACTGAAAATTAGAAACAACTAAATAGCGGCGTATGTTATGCCGCGGGCCGGCTCGTCTATATATAATTCTCTTCTGGGAGCCGTTAGAAAACAAGCTGTAAGCGCCTCCTTGCAGTCCCCTCTCTTTCTCTCTATCACTATCACTACCACCCCCACCCCACCCCCACATTATCTGGTGAGCGGTGTTCACTCTAAATGTTTACAAAGCTAAATGTTTACAAATCGTAGAGCCGTAGAGCCGGGTTTCTATTAGGGGCAGATAATTTAGTTCGATTTTAAACTTAGAGGAGGTAACTAAGAAATAACTAAGAGGAGGCTGCTTTCACGGGGGGGGGGGGGGGGGGGGGGGGAGGGTCGGGGTTAGGGGAAAGGGGGGGGGGTTAGTGTTTTAAAGCAAATATTTTCAGTGGCAGCATTGGTACTGTCGAATTCACAAATTATGAACTACTGAAAAGTAGAAAATAAAACAACTAAATAGCGGCGTATGATATGCCGCGGGTCGGCTCGTTAACAATATTTCTGCTCGCCCCCCCCCCCCCCTACAATTAAAGTTAATGAAGACTAACCACATTTAGAGCCGACACTATTCGCATTATAAAAGGTATAGATTTTATTCTGAGGCTTCAATAGAAAGTCATTAAAACAAACCCACTGAGCAGTAGCCTATTATCTACTGAGGTTCATTCATTTGAAACGTAATTAAAGTCAATGTGTCAGGGCGCTTAACACGCACACACGCACGCACATACACACACTCACACAAACACACTCACACTCACACACACACACACACAACCTTGACTTTGACCGTGTGAAATGAATCATGTTACACGCCATCAAGTCGGGTTTATCCCAAACATCTGCTGGTGTTCGTTGAGGGCGCGAGTTGTGTCTGCTCGCGATCGTCTGAGACCGCGAGACCCCAGTAGGCCTATATTTTTAGAACAAAATACGTGCCAGGGTGTCAACATCTCATCCAACATCAGAGCGTCAATACTTCACCCAACATCCGCAATATCAAAGAGTCAATTTTGTTCTAATGATTATAAAG